AAATGATCCCGAAAGATTACGATTGTCGGGCGAAAAAACGCACGATGCTCCAGAAGACGCGCTGCACACCATTGGATGGAACTGGAAGATTCCTGTTCCAGAGCTGGAGCTAGGTCTCCGCATCATTCGCGTGATTGCGATTGTTCGCGATATCCTTAGCTGCTTCATTGCCGAGCGATATTGCGTAGCATACCCTGGGGCTAACTTTCTTGCCCGCGGCACCGGCGCAGAGTGCGATGATGGCGAGCGTCGAACGGACGCATACGCCCTTGATTGCCGCATTCGTGCCGCGATTGAGACAGACGGCCTCATTGATGAATGGGCCCATGACTTGGGCAAACAGGGTCGTGCCGATATCCGTCGTCAGGGCATGAAGTTGGAAGAAGCTATTTATTGGCTATATCCATTCGTGGAAGCCACTGAGCTCCAAGACAAAGATGATTACCACTTTCGCGGTGCCTGCGGCAAGTTTGGCATTTTGGTTGCTACTGCCGCAAGGGATATTATTTGATATGCTAGAAAGCAACGAATGATGAGTGTTCGTGGGAGTGGGGGCGCTGCGCGGGGGCCCTCCGACGGCCAAGCCGATGCGGAGGGGCCCGCCTTGGCAAAAGCGAGGCCCAGAACAGCTGGTCGCCCCGATCCGCCACCTCCCCCACGCAGATCCGACGTCCAAGACGATCGGGCCAACGATGACGCCACGGAATCCCCGCACTCTGCCGGCGGTCAAACCGCCGCGGCAGGAGATGAGCACTCATGGTATTCGTCTGACAGGGGCGCGCGGGATCGGTCGAGGCCCACGCGCGCGCGCGCGGCGGAATGGATGCCGGGCGCGGGGCTGCCGGCAACGACCTCTCGAGGCACTACCCGCACTACGCGCGCGATGTACTTGATGGGCACTGGGTTCACCGGGACGTGATATCCTGGATGAGCCCCAGGGAGAACCAGTCACGCGCGTGGCACGCTGTGCACCTGAACGACTACAACTACCGCTTTCCGAGAGAAGGAAAGGGTTCCAAGAGCAAGAACAAGGACAAGTACAACAGGTCAGCGCCCTACGCTGGCGGCGGCAAGGGATGCAGATCGCGTTCGCCCTAGTGGGCCGCGGATCAGACAGGAGGCTCGTCATCTTCACATCCGAGACCTCCGTCTCCGCCATCGGGGCGATACCTTTCGAACAAGAAGCGAGAGTAGGCAGAGCCCGGGCGACCGAGTCGCCGCGGGCGCGACCGAGCGTCAAAGTCGTTTCGGCAGAGAGAATGTATTTAACTATTGGTGGGGTTCGTCGGGTTTCTCCACACCCGAGCTCCCTGGCAACCACCGCTGAGCGGTAAAATGCTTTTGGGGTTCGCTCCGGTGGCTGTATATATGCGCGGGCCAGGCGAGCTGCGGCTGGATGGGCCCTTCGAAGCCCGCCGCGGGGGGAGTAAATGTGCTCCTCTCCGCCTCTTACTGCGCTTGCCTCTCTTGCCGTCTGCCTTGCCGCGCCTTGACTCTGCGGCTCTGTTTCGCGGCTGTATTTGCTCTCGGGATAGAAAGGGGCCGTGCCGGCTTGCACGCGCGCGCCGAGGGGTCGTTCCCTTGTCGTCGTCGCGTCGTCGGCTGGCCGGCCCCCTCCCTTCGCATTTTTGAGTGCAGTTGCTTCGCGGTTATTTGTAGTGTCATCGATCATCCCGTATCCTCTACTACTGAGCGGAGTCAACGCGAGACCCAATTCCTATGTCATCTTACCCCGATTCCCAGAGGAAAGACTAGTCGAACCGGTAGCGACTCCTCCCCATTTTTTGGGACGGGGGGAGGGGTTCGAACCGGTAGTGGTCTGTTCTGGTAGGGGGGGGTCGAACTGGTAGCCCCCTTTCCGGAGGGGGGGGGGGGGGGGGGGGGGGGCGAGCCGGCAGTGGCCCCTGGTTTTGAGGAGGGAGGGAGGGGAAGGGGAGGGGGGGGTTTTGCCCGGTGGAAGGGGGGGGGCCCAGCAAAGGGGGAGGGCATTTTCGAAAGGGAGGAACCCCGGGTTCTGGAGGAAGCGGGGGGGGGGATTTTCCAAAGTAAAGCGGCGGTGGATTACGCTCTCTCATATGCGTATGCCTATACGACCACCCTTCGGGTGATAAGGAGGTTAGGGGGGGAGGAACCAACGTCCCACTCGATTGGTCTCACTATCGATCTCACTATCGATCTCACGATCGGTCTCGCTCGATCGGTCTCACCCCAATCGATCTCACTCGATCTGTTTCATTTGATCGATCTCCCAATAGATCTGACTATCAATATCACAATCGATCCCACTATCGATCTCATGATCGATCTCACAATCGATATCCCATGATGTTTCAGTATCGATCTCACTATCGATATCACAATCGATCCCACAATCAACGTCACCATCATCACCATCAACATCATCGCCGTCAACATCATCAGCATCATCATCATCATCACCATCGGGACACCATCACCATCACCATCACCTCATCACCATCATCATCATCATCATCACCACCATCATCGTCATCGGGGCAATATCATCGTCACCATCATCATCAACCTCATCATCATCGGGAGACCATCATGATCGTCATCGGAACACCACCACCATCATCATCATCACATAAGCATCATGAACATCAACAACATCACCATCATCATCATCATAATCGGGATACCATCAACATCATCAACAACGTTATCATCATCAACATCATCATCATCAAAACACCATCACCATCAGCATCATCATCAACCGCATCATCATTATCATCATCCTCATCGGGGCACCAACATCACCATCATCGTATCATCATATCATAATCATCATCAGGATCATCAACATTATCATCATCGGAACACCATCATCATGACCAGCATCATCATCAACATCATCATCGGGACACCATCATCATCACCATCATCATTAACATCGTCAACACCATCATCATCATCGAGACACCATCATCATCACCATCATCGTCTTCATCAACATCATCGACATCACCATCATCACCATCACCATCATCATCATCATCATCATCATCGGGACACCGACGGGACACCGGCGGGACACCGCGCGGCACCGGACGCCGGAAGGGAATCATTTGGTCCAGCCGCGCCTCGGCCACAGCGGGACACTGGCGCGACACCCCGCGGCACTGGTTGCCGGAAGGGAATCATTTGGTCCGGCCGCGGAGCCGATTCCTCTCCTCTTCCTCCTCCTGCTTCTCTTCCTCGTCCTCGTCACCCTCTTCCTCTTCCTCCTCCTCCTCCTCCTCCTCCTCCTCCTCCTCCTCCTCCTCCTCCTCCCCCTCCTCGTTTTTCTCCTCCTCCACCTCCTCTGCGTCCTCCTTCCTCCTCCCTCCGCCCCCCTCACTCCTCACCCATCCTCCTCCAACCTCCCTCCCTCCCTCCCTCCCTCCCTCCCCCACTCCCTTCTCATCCTCCCTCCTGCCTCCTCCCCCTCCCGGCGGAAAGACCCACGGACGCCAGAGTTGGCCCCCCTCCCCCTTAGCCAATGGGACCCGTGGGGACACAGCGGCGGGGCTTTGAATTAACCAGCATGAATTACACCTAGGGCGGTGACTAAAAAACCGACGCAACATTAGAGGAGGAGGGGGAGGAGGAGGAGGAGGAGGAGGAGGAGGAGGAGGAGGAGGAGGAGGAGGAGGAGGAAAGGGGGGAGGCGCAAGGCGCGCGCAACAGCAGGGGCGGCCAGGCAGGGGCGGGGAGAGGAAAGGAAAAGTGCGGCCGGGGGGGGGGCGATCGGGTCGGTGGTGGTGGTGGTCGTGGTCGCGGCGTTGTCGTGCTGGTGGTGGTCGCGGTCGTGGTGCCAGCTGGCGGTATCCGCGGTGGCTGTCGTGCCAGCGCTGGTCGTGGTCCTGGTGCTGGCGGTCGTGGCGGTTGTCGTGATTAGGGTGTCCTCCCCCTCCTCTCTTCTCCCACCTCCCTCATCTCTTCTCCCTCCTCTCCCTCTCCCTCCTCCCTCCTCCCTCCTGTCCCCTCCCACCTCTTTCATCCGTCCCCCCCCCCACAATTACTCAATATGAATATTATTCTCCCTCTTCCCCTGATGACGGCTTGGGAGTATCCGACCCCCCCCGCGTATTGTTTTTTCCACACAGGTTTCCCCGGAGTTGGGTTTTCGCTTGCATTTTTCCCCAAAATGCTGCTCTCGCTGAGGCGCCTGCCTCATTTTCGGGCCCCGCTCGTTCCGAATCGTGCCCCCGCTGCAGCGCTGGCATCATTTCCGCCGGCGCCCGGGCTGCACGCCCGAGCCGGCGCCCGGGCCGGCGCTCGGGCCGGAGCCGGTTCCGGCCGGCGCCGGAAAATCGAGTTCCGAGGCGGCGCCGAAAAAAGGCCATTCGAATACACATTTCTTTTGAAAATGTTGAATTTCTGCCTCTGGCGCCCGGAAGGCCTCCCGGGCCGATTCCGACGCCCGGGCCGGCGCCCGAGCCAGCGCCCGGGCCGGACGCCCGAGCTGCCACGTAGATCCATCTATGCCTATTCAGTGCATCTTCCTATTTAGTAGTCGGCCTTAAATTTAGCGTCGGCGCTAAAATTTAGCGACGATTACAGCTAAATCTGTAGCGACGAGTACATCTTAATGACGACGACGGCGCGATGTTGCCCCACGAGGAGGCGCACTTATCCTGCAATGGGATATTTTATTCACGCGCGGAGGAAGCCGCGCCTCCTGCGGCGAGCAATATGCTGCATGTGCGAGCGGTCTTGGCGTGTTCAGGGGGCGTCGCCCCCTCCAGGGCATCGCGTCGATCTCGCAGGGGCGGAAGTTGACTTCTTGTCATGGAGGCGAAGAACGAGGAGGCCGCGCCTCCTGCACGGGGGGAGGGGGAAAGAGGAATGGGGCGGGGCGAGCATGCGGACGTGGGGGCCGCGCCTCCTAAGAGCGACGACGGCGGCGCATCCAACCTTCCCATCGCCGCCGCAGCCTGCCATCGAGAGGCCGCGGCAACGGCCCCCCCCCACCTCGGCGCGGGGCCGCTCGCATGGCGTCGGGGCGTGCGAAAGTGGAGATCGCCCAGGAGGATTTGAATGGGGTCATCCGCAAGTGGCAGGGCGAGATCCTGGGATTCCACTTCACGGGCAGCTACGAGGACATCGCGCGCAAGAACGTGAACTTCCTGGCGAGCGTGAATGGGCGGACGGCGAGGGTGTCCGCGAAGGACCTCCAGCAGGGTCTGAAGGAGGTGCTCGGGGAGGCGGACACTGCGCCCTCGGCGCGGGCAAAAACGATGGCGGAGACGCTGTCGTGGTGCAACAAGAGGAGCGGCAACAAGGAGTTGCAGCGCCTCCCTCCCGCGGCGCAGACGGCGATCCACGCCGGGAAAGTGGAAGCCGCGGGCGGCGGACAGCACTCGCCCGCCTCGACGCCGCCGAGCTCAGCAAAGCTTCGCGGCAGCCCAGGGGCGGCGTCGGCCGCCTCGGGCGGCGCCGCGCCCAGCGCAGCGGACCAGGGCGCGGCGATTTTGGCCCTATATGGCGCGAGGGGCCCCCCGCGGAAGCGCAAGGGCGACGAGGGGGCGCACGTCGCCCCGTCGCAGGAGACCGTGGCCAGCGGCCCGCCGAGCACGAGGAAGGCCCGCGCGGCGCTCGCGTTTCGCTTTGCACCACGCATGAGAGAGAGGGAGGCATGGAGAGACAGAGAGAGAGAGAGAGAGAGAGAGAGAGAGAGAGAGAGAGAGAGAGAGAGAGAGAGAGAGAGAGAGAGAGAGAGAGAGAGAAAAAAAGAGAAAGAGAGAAAGAGAGAAAGAGAGAAAGAGAGAAAGAGAGAAAGAGAGTAAGAGAGAAAGAGAGAAAGAGAGAAGAGAGAGAGAGAGAGAGAGAGAGAGAGAGAGAGAGAGAGAGAGAGAGAAGAGAGAGAGAGGAGAGAGAGAGAAGAGAGAGAGAGAGAGAGAGAGAGAGAGAGAGAGAGAGAGAGGAGAGAGAGAGAGAGAGTGAGAGAGAGAGAGAGGAGAGAGAGAGAGAGAGAGAGAGAGAGGAGAGAGAGAGAGAGAGAGAGAGAGAGAGAGAGAGAGCAGGAGAGAGAGAGAGAGAGGAGAGAGAGAGAGAGAGAGAGAGAGAGAGGGAGAGAGAGGAGAAGAGAGAGTAGAGAGAGAGAGAGGGAGAAGAGAGAGAGAGAGAGAGAGAGAGAGAGAGAGAGAGAGAGAGAGGAGAGAGAGAAGAGAGAGAGAGATTGAAACGCCCCCCCCCCCCCCCCCCCCCCCCCCCCCCCGCCCCCATCGCCCCCCCCCCCCCCACCCACCCACCCACCCACCCCCGCCCCCACCCCCCGCCGAGGCGCAACAGGGGGCGAGCTACCAGGCCGAGAAGACGGCGACCTTCAAGGAGGACGAAGACTGGGTGGAGTACAACACGATGGAACTCGTGAGGGCTCGGCACTGCCCCGTGGCGTGGCTCGGGCTCGAGGAAGAGCGGTTCCGTCTTCGCCAGGGCACCAAGGGCTTCGCCGTGATCACCGTCGACGGTGAGGCGGTCGAGACTCTCGTGACGAACGCCGCCCTGCAGGCCGCGGAGCAGGGGGGGCCGAGGGGAGGCAGCCAAGCCGCAGCAGGCTCACCCGAAGGGCGGGGCGAAGAAGCGGCCAGCGGCAGCGCGGAAGAGGCCGGCGGCAGCGGGCGAGGAGGAGGGCGAGGAGGAGGGCGAGGACGAGGCCGATGGGGGCCCGCGCCCGCGACGACAGCGAGGACGGCGAGAGGGGGAGCAGCCAGGAGACGCACGAGTCCGACCTGGAGGGCGCCGCGGGCGGCTCGAGCAAGCGGGGGCCGGCTGCGGCCGACAGGGGGCCTGCCGCGGCCGACGAGAAGCCTGCCGCGGAAGACAGGGGGCCGAGCTTGGAGGTGGAGGTGTAGGAGGATTCCGTGAAGGGGAAAGCCTGGGTTGTCATGCGTGTAAGGCACGCGAGAAGAAGAAGGCGGCCGTGGCGATCCGCCAGGCGCGCAAGCCGCGCAGCCAGGTGCGCCAGTGGACAGCGGGCGACTACCCCGAGGCGCAGATGCGGGAGATGGCAGCGGGCATGGTCAGCAGGCTGCGCATGCGGGAGATCGCGGAAGCGACCGTGAAAGCGCGAGAAGTTCGGACTGGCGGCGGCGGCGCGAGTAGCAGGAGGGAGCGGCGGCAGCCGAGATGCGCATGTAGCGCAGCCAGTTCTGGGCCACAGTCGCGCAGCTGAACAAGAGTTCGGAACCAGATCTTGCGCCGTTCTCGAAGCGTCCGCTAAAAAAGGAGGTGGAGGGGGGGGGGGGGCGAAAGAACGAAGGCATGGGGGGGGGGGGGGGGGGGGGGGGGGGGGGGGGGGGGGGGGGGCGCCCCGGATGGCGAGAGAAGCCACCCGCCTCCTGCGCGCATGGGGTTGGGCGCGATGATCACAGGGGGGGGTGGGGGTCGGGGGGGGGGGGGGGTGGCCGCCTTCCGATGGAGGCGCCGCCCCCTGCTCGGCAGCATCGCCCCCGACAGGGGGGCCCGCCTTCTGCTCGGCACCGCGCTCTATAGGAGGCGCCACATCCTGGTGCATCTTGCTCCGAGCGGCAGCTGCATGCGCGTTTTCATTCGCCCGTCGCAGCCACGAGCGCCCCTCGCGGGGCGCCCTCGCGACGCTCGGGGCCGCGCGGCCCTTCCCCGAGCAGGGCCTCTCGGCGGGGCCACGGCGGCCTCCTGGGCAGCGCCGCCGCTCGCGGCGCCCGCGCAGCAGGCGGAGGGGGAGGGGGGAAAAAGGGGGAAGAAGAGGAGGGGGCCTCGCCTCACGAAGGAGGAGGAGGAGGAGGAGGACGGGGAGGAGGAGGAGGAGGAGGAGTAAGTTTTTCCATGCCCTTCCCCATCCCCCCTGCCC